ATTATTAATAAAACAAGGTGAAGTAGCATTCTGAAGTCCTTGGTTTCTCTCAGTTCCCCAAGATGGGTCTCATAAGAAGAAAAGGGGATTTGGTGGACCACTTCACTGATGTTATTTCTGGTCAGAAAAGCTCAGTATTAAAAGAAGTAGAAGAGCACCTGAGAGGTTTGTAATCCACCTGGCTAGAGTGAGGGGCTGAGAGAGAGGCTGAGAAGTGCTGACCTGTTACAGCTCTTATAGCTTAGCCCCACTCCTCTGGAGGTAAGGGTTTGTATAAGAGATTTTCTTATAGAGCATTCTGGTTCACCCTGAATAGTCCTCTAGGCCTCCTTAGTTTACCTGAAGTGTGTTTATCCTAATGGCTTGCAGAAGGATGTGCAAGAGGATCTTAATTCATCTAAAATTGCTACATTACTAGAACATAAATACAGGAGGGTTGAGGCAGAGGCCAGGGACCAGTCAAGGTCTGAGTATATCATATAGAGGGTGGGAACAGACAACTCGTGACCTAACTACCCCCACACCCAACATCAGAAAGTCACAAATAACTAAATCCAGAAATCCAGAGTGCTATTTTAAGAACTGGCTAGAGAGGGTGCAGGAAGGAGGGCTGTAGCCCACTACTTTTCAGGGGGAAGTCTGAGGGAGATTTCAGGGGACATTGTGAGTAACGGGTTTTCTTCCCCTTATACCATCCTTTTCTGTTGTCCCTAGTGGAGATAGTAGCTCTTAGATTATGACCTCTCATAAATTTGACCCAAATGAAGTTGGGAACCCTAAAGGGCCAGATATTATCTGAGCCACTGCCCCATTCCAGGGCCAGTAATCTCAGGAGAGACTCAGGAAAGGGAGTAGCTGGCAGGGCAGAGGGAAAGTGGCAACCTGTGTGGTTCAGTCCTGACACATACTCCTGCTTAGAGGATTCTAAAAAGTCAGCTGATAGGAGAAGGAAAGTAGAGGGAAAAGCCAGCTAAAGGGAGATACTTAGAATCAGGGTCCAGATTTTCCTTCAAAGGGGAGGGGTTGTGGTGAGAGAAAAGAGTTAAAGGATTAAGAGAATAGGCTTAGAGTCAGACAGAGGGATAATGGTTAAAGTAAGGAACAGAGTTAGGAATTTCCTGGTACAGAGAAAGTAGGATTTGAAGTTAGAGATCATGGCACTGTAGCCTCTTAACCTAAGACCCTCTTGTCTGGACAGTTATGGTTAATAGTCCATCCACAGTGTAACTTTACAGTGTGAACAAAGCTCTTGTGATAACAGTATGCCTTAGTGGAAGGTGTCAGATAGGTAACTACTGGGCTGTTATATTCATCATGTGCAAAAGAATAAAAAAATAAAACATTTTGATCACAGGGAGATTATAGGGAAAGAAAGAGTAATGACTGAGCCAGTCTCCCAAGAGTCTCAAGAACAATCCTTCCACACATGGAAACTTTCTTTTGGTCAAAGGGGAACTAGCAGGAATTCCACAGTTTCAGGAATAGTTTCTTTTTTTTTTTTTTTTGAGAGTCTCATTATGTTCCCCTCAGTATTGTGCTGTGGCGTCACAGCTCACAGCACCCTCTAACTCTTGAGCTTAAGCGAATCTCTTGCCTCAGCCTTCCAAGTAGCTGGGACTATAGGCACCTGCCACAATGCCAGGCTATTGTAGTTGTCATTGTTGTTTGGCAGGCCCTGGACCAGGTTCGAACCCACCAGCCTTGGTGTACATGGCTGGCGTCCTAGCCGCTGAGCTACAGGTGCCAAGCCCGGGAACAGTTTTGTATATGTTCTTCTAGTTTTTTGTTTGTTTTTGAAACAGTGTCTCACTCTATTGCCCAGGCTAGAGTGGCATGGCCTCAGCCTAGGTCACAGCAACCTCAAACTCTTAGATTCAAGTAATCCTCCTGCCTCAGCTTGAGACCGTAAGCACCCACCACAATGGCCAGCTAATTGTTCTATTTTTAGTAGAGACCCCATCTTGCTCTTGCTCAGGCAGGTCTTAAACTCCTGAGCTCAAGTAATCCTTCTGTCTCTGCTTCCCAGAGTGCTGGGATTACAGGCGGGAACCACCGTACCTGTCCTATTTCCTTCCTTCTTTCCCCCTTTCTTCCTTTAGTATCTCTTCCCTCAACCTCCTGGATGATGACCTTGATGCCTATTTTACTTCAGAAACAGAAGCAATTAGGGGACACCTTCCAAATATTCCCAGGTGCCTACATCAGGGCCCACATGCCCTGCTTTCCCTCCAGTTACTGTAAGTGATCTGTTTTAGCTCCTAATCAAGGCATCCTGTCTATTTATGCAATAGATCTCACCTACTCTCTCCTATTCCAGTAATGATCTTCTTTCTCTCTTACAGTTTTTCATTCTATTGGATCATTTCCATAAGAACACAAACATTCTGGCTCGGCGCCTGTGGCTCAAGCGGCTAAGGCGCCAGCCACATACACCTAAGGTGGCAGGTTCGAATCCTCAGCCCGAGTCCGCCAAACAACAATGATGGCTGCAACCAAAAAGAAAATAGCCGGGCGTTGTGGCGGGCGCCTGTAGTTCCAGCTACTTGGGAGGCTGAGGCAGGAGACTTGCTTGAGCCCAGGAGTTGGAGGTTGCTGTGAGCTGTGATGCCATGGCACTCTACCCACGGGGATAGCTTGAGGCTCCATCTCAAAAAAAAAAAAAAAAAAAGAACACAAACATTCTGTAATTTTTCTCATCTTAAATAAAATCTTTTGTGACCCTCTTATCCTCCTGAAGTTATACTCTCATCCTCATTTCTGTGGACTACTATATTTGCTGCTTCAAGGCCTCTTCTTTTCTCTCTTGAATCCACTGCACTGAAACGTCTCTTGTCAATATCACTGGTGATCTCCACATCGCAAAACTCAGTGGCCATTCTCAGTCCTCATCTTACTTGATTTACCTGCAGAATTTGACATAGGTAATCATTGTCTTCTCCCTGAAATATTTCTTCACATGGCTTCTACATTACTATAATCTCTTGGCTTCTCAGCCTTGTTGGTTTTCCTTCATTACTTTAACTCTAATCACTGCAATGCTCTAGAACAGCAATTCTCAACTTGTGGGTTGTGACCCACAGGAACTGTATTAAAGGGCTGCAGCATTGGGTGGCTCAGTGAGTAGGGCGCCAGCCCCATATACAGAGGGTGGCGGGTTCAAACCTGGCCCTGGCCAAATTGCAATAAAAAAATAACCAGGCATTGTGGCGGGCACCTGTAGTCCTAGCTACTTGGAAGGCCGAGGCAAGAGAATCGCCTAAGCCCAAGAGCTGGAGGTTGCTGTGAGCCGTGACGCCACAGCACTCTACCTAGGGTGACAAAGTGAGACTCTTGTCTCTTAAAAAAAAGGGGCCACAGCATTAGGAAGGTTGAGAACCACTGCTCTAGAATTTGATCCTCTTTTCTATCTCACTCACTTTCTTGTAATCTCAGTCTCATGGCTTTAAATGTTAATCTCCTAATTTGAATCTCTAATCCCAGCCCTTCTCTTTAATTCATCTTGAATATCTATCTAACTGTTCATAAGTATCTCCTCTTAAACAATTCACAGGCATCTCAAATTTGTCTAAGAACAAGTTCCTGGGCTGGGCACAGTGGCTCATGCCTGTAATCCTAGCACTCTGAGAGCCTGAGGTGAAAAGATTGCTTGAGCCTCGGAGTTCAAGACCAGTCTGAGCAAAAGCAAATCCACATTTCTACCAAAAAATAGATAAATTAGCCAGGCATGGTGCTATGCACCTATAGTTCCAGCTACTCTGGATGCTGAGGCAGGAGGCTCGCTTATACTCAGGAATTTGATATTGCAGTGAGATGCCACTGCACTCCACTAGACAGAGTAAGACTCTGTCTCAAAAACAACAGCCACCAAACTGAACAAACACCAACAAAAAACAAGCTCCTGATTCCAAAACCTGCTGTTCCTCCTGCTGTCATTATCTCAGGAAATGGCAACTCCATTTTTTCAATTCCTCAGGCCCAAACTCTGGAGTCATCCCTGACCCCTCTCTTTCTCATGATACCACCTTTACAATCAACAAATCATGCTGGTCATAGCTTGAATCCAATCATTTGCCATCTCCACTGCCACTGTGCTGATCAAAGCTATCACCTCTTGCTTGGCTTTCTGTCATCATCTCCCCACAGGTTTTTCTGCTTCCTCTCTCATATCCCTTTTGTGCAAATCAGAGGTCTCTAGTGGCTTCTTTCTCATCTCACTTGCTGTAAAAGTCAAACTCCTTAAAAGGACTCCCACAGCCCTACATAATCTGCCCCCATCCCTAGTTAATTCTAATCTCACCTGTATATCCATCTCTGCTCCGTTTTCCTTCCTCTGTCTACTCCAGCTACGCTGGTCTCTTGCTGTTCTGCAAACAGACTAGTCACATTTCCACCCAAGACCCTTGAAAGCTCTTGTCCCAGATAGCCACAGCCTTACTCCCTTATCTCTTTTGGCTCTTTGTCAAATGCCACCTTTCAGAGAGGCTCCTTCTGACTACTCTATGTCAAAACATGTTCCTCCAGTTCCACCCCAGCACTCACTACTGCCCTTCTCTGCCTTTTTTTTTTTTTTTTAGCACTTATTAACATAGCTGTCATTTTATAGGTGGCACCTGTGGCTCAAGGAGTAGGGTGCTGGCCCCATATACCAGAGGTGGTGGGTTCAAACCTGGTCCCAGCCAAAAACTGCAAAAACTGCAAACAAACAAACAACCCCCCCCAATCATTTCATGTTTATTTATTTCTATATACACTAACTAGAATGTAAGCTCTGTAGGAGCATAATGTTGTCCATTTTGTCCCCTATAATTTTCCTAGCATTAATAAATCTTTGTTGAATAAATTTTGATGACTTTCCTTATTCTCCAATATTGAGACCCAGTTCTTCAAATGACTAAGGAAATGAGCCTGGTAATAGTAGCCTTGAGAGTATCTAAGGGGTCCAAGGTGGTAGCAGTTTAATCCTTCCTTTAACATACAATAATCTGATTTTTTTTTTCTAGCTTAACACAAAAACATCCCCAGCAACCAACCAGGCATCTGGACCAGAAGAAAAAGGTAAGTGGGTTTGGGCTGGGCAGTTTGTAGAGTGAGTGAATGTGTAGACATGAAGACAAGTAGGGCTGTAAGTCTACTTAAGGAAGCTCTCAAAGTCAGATGTGAAAGGCATAAGAATGTGGATAAGTGAAACAAAGAACTAAGTCAGGCCAGGCATGGTGGCTCATGCCTATTGTCCTAGCACTCTGGGAGGCTGAGATGGGTGGATTGCCTGAGCTCACGGGTTGGAGACCAGCTGGAGCCAGAGCAAGACCTTGTCTCTAAAAATAGCTGGATATTGTAGTGGGTGCTGTAGTCCCAGCTACTCAGGAGACTGAGGCAAGAGAATTGCTTGAGCCCAGGAGCTAGACTACTACTGCCAGGGTAGTCTACTGAGGGCAACAAAGTGAGACTCTGTCTCAAAAAAAAAAAAAAAAAAAAAAAAAAAGTCAGAACTACCATATATATATATGTATATGTATATATGTATGTATGTATATGAAGAAACTCATTAGATAATTCTGGACATTGTCATCTCCATCAGAAATTGAGGGAAAGTTGGAGAAAGTAAGTGTGCTTCAGGACTTGAACTATAGGATTTAGGTCTAAGTGATGATAAAAGACATTTGTGATTTGGTCCAAGAATAGCAAAGCTCTCCTAAGTAAATAAAGCTGATTCCCAGCCTAGGTACTCTGACACTTCTAGAATTCTCAGGCATTCATAGTCCTAGCAAGGATTGGTCCCCCACAGAGTCTAGCACTGTATTAGAGATCTGGAAAAGGGGCTCAGGTAGGTCAGGTTAACCTATTAATAAATCTTCCAACTATCTGCAGGGAAAGCTGGCAATTCCAAGAAGGCAGAGGAAGAGGAGGAGATTGACATTGACCTGACGGCGCCAGAAACAGAGAAGGCTGCCCTTGCCATTCAGGGCAAGTTCCGGCGATTTCAGAAAAGGAAAAAGGATCCCAGCTCATGAATGGCCAGCTTTGTCCTGCACCCCATTCCTTTCTCTCCCTTTCTCTACAGCCCTGACTCCTATGTATCTTTGTTCCCTTGTACCTCTAGTCTCTTGTTGAGGCAACTTCAACCCTTATATACTCTTTTCTCTGGTCCCCTCAAGCCATCACAACAGTAGAGGCACAAGGAACTTGAAGACTTGAATTCGCAGTGGCTTGCCTAAGAGTGAATCCTTTCTCCCTGGGGGTGAGGGTCCCTGATCAGTACCTATGCCTGCCCTGTGGGATTGAGGAGCAAGAGGCTTTGAGGTTGAGAGATGCCTGCCCCTCATGGTGTGGAAAGGAGGGAAAGCTTTAGAGTAGGGTACCTGAGGGTTGGGGAGGGTGTAATTGTTCTGCCTATTACAGCATTCACATTTCAGGTGACATTCTTTCCCCTTCAGATCCTTCGGCACCGCCACCTCCAACTTCCTCTCCTGGGATCTAAGCCACAGTGCAGACTGGCGCCTCCTTTCCCCCAGGCAGACCTAAATCAAGCAGTTTACCACAATAGTGCATGCTGAGTAGATTATTCCAAAGAAGGAAGACTGAACCGGTACCTGCACAATGAAAACAATAAGTTTCCTTCATTGTCTAGTCTGGGACCACAAGGGGCAGAGGTAGAAGAGGTTCCAGGGCCATAGTCAGGGAAATGAGAAGTGGGATAGATTTAGGCAGGAGAGAAAAGTCAAGAAGGGGAATGTCTCTGAAGTCACAAGTTACTGCTGGTGAAAGTATACTCATGAAGGATTCTTGGGGCCTTGCTAACCTTCCTACCTCTAACCCCCTAAGTAGTTATCACCAGAGGCCACACAAACCAAGTTACCCCTGTAGTTTCAACTCACCCCACTATGGAGTCAGGGCAAAAATGGAATAGCCATTCCATATGATTTTAGCATGTTTAATAATTATAACAATAAAAAGCCCCTCAGTTGGGGTCATTTAAACTCTACTAATGTTTTTTCTTGTGAGGAATATTAATGTAAGCCTGGCCGGGCCCCAGGGAGGGTAGAAGAGCAACTGCACAGACTACTTGGTGGCACAGAACACTGAGCAATTTTCAGACTGAAGCCAATACTACTTTGTATCTCTGACCTTGCCCTCACTTTGATTTGCCGCCCACATTCTCTCTGCTGCTGTTACCACCCCCAGTGCACACCTGCAAGGTTGTTCATCGTCCCATTCTCTTTCCAGCTAAGAGCATGCTTGGTACATACCCATCTGAAAACAAACCTAGTCTTCCTTGCTTCCTGTCCCCAGATGACCTATCCTAGATTTCCTTCCTGCTTTGTCTTCCTCCCACACTCTCCCCTCCCTTCCCAATGTTTATCAAACATAAAGGAAGGAAAGGATGGCTGGTCCCTAGAGAGCATCACTGTTACACTAGAGGTTTTAAACCGTAAATTCAATAAAGTGGTGACTTTCAAGTAAGTTTATTTTGCTGAGAAATGACCTGTATACATTGAAACCAGAAGTTAAATGCTTGAAGACTGAGCAAAAATGATCTGTCTTTGCTGCCACCCTTTCTTCCTTCTTTTTTCTTTTAAAATTGTTTTTATTGGGGTAAAATACACATGATGTAAATATACCATCTTGGCTGGGTATGGTGGCTTACACATTTAATCCTAGCATTCTGGGAGGCTAAAGGTAGGATTGCTAGAGCTCAGGAGTTCAAGACCAGCTATCCTCCTGGCTTAGCTTTCCACGGAGTTACCCACCACAATGCCCGGCTAGCTTTTTTTCTATTTTTAGTCAAGACAGGGTCTTACTCTTGCTCAGGCTGATGTCAAACCTGTGAGCTCAGGCAATCCATCCACATTGGCCTCCCAGAGTGCTGGCATTACAGGTGTGAGCTGCAGCACCCAGCCATATCCTTTCCTTCTTAACTCAAGAATACAGAAATCAAAACTATGTAGCAGCTGTAACTAAGAAACAAGCGACAGTATCCCTGGAGGGCAACCTATATCTCAAAGTTTACTCATATCCATGGCTATAGGATATTAGGGAAATTGAACAGTAATTCATGAGAAGGCCTCATGTTAAAGGAAGTACTTCCTTCTATGATGCCAGAGAAAAGGTAAGTTACTGTTACATTTGGAATCTGTTTTGAGTGCAGGATACTAATGATGGTGGCCTTTAGTCACTGTCCCATAGGTAAATAAAAGGACACCTCGTTGTCACACCTGGTGTGTGTCCAGTGTGTCTTGGCAAAACAAGAGTATTCCTTGTTCCCTTATTCCATGGACATGAGATGAGAAGTGGCTGGCGTGTTATCTTAACCTGTCCCTGTGGACACTGAGGTAAGGCAGGTGCTTCCTGTTCCTGCTGATGTGGGCCTTTGGGAGTTGGCTGCTGCTAAGGCAATGGGGGAGTTTTTTGTCACCTCTCCTGTAGACTCTGCTTTTTGGGGAATATCTGCTGATTTGTTTTTCCCTGCGCTGATCTGGAACATAGCACTGAAATGATATTTCCTTTTACCATCTCTTGCTTCCAAAGTGTTATGCTTGTTCTCATACATATTTTTAAAAAGTGTACAGTAGCAAAAAAACATAGTGTTGCTCAGGGAAAGATAGTTTTGACCAGAAAGAGAGACTTGGGGATCTTTTGCTGAACCAGTGGTAGTCTCCATAAAGGTTCTGAAAGAGAGTTTCTCTCTAGGATCCACACTGCTTATTACTTAAACTGAACCTCTTCTCTATGGCATGCCTGTAACTTCTCCTTGGGCCCTAGGGTGTGGCCTGGGATCTCTACCTTGGGGCTCTAGACCCTTCTTCTCTTTCCTGTCCCTTTAGTACCTACTGTTGGAGAAATAGTCCTAAAGTACTAATTACTGAAGAATTATACTTGAGTACTTTGTTTTGTGGAGCAAAACTGCAAGTCTTTGTGAGAATTGGTGAATGCCACTATAAACAGTTTAGCAGAAGAGATATGCATAAGAAACGGTCAAGGAAGAAAGTTAAAAAAAATAATTTATATTTTTCTTATAGTCAACACTTCTGAAACTAAAGGTATGAGTTTTTCCCATCACATTAAGCAATTCTCTGATTCTCTGGACACCAGCTGGGTACCTTACAATTCAGTCAGGAGAAACTACCCAGAGTTAATGCCAGTTGCAAGCTTAGGGTTGTGACCTGTATTTCTGGCCAACTGGGTGTAAATCAGAGGCTCTTATGAATAACAAAAGATGCCCCCCTTACTCCTACCACTCAAGAAATTCTTTTTTAAAATTATTATCTTTTAACAGCTTTTGTAGCTGTTCAAGACTATTATTATCATTATTATTATT